ATAAATCGTTCCTTAATTTGATTTTAGGAAATGGTCCATTTAATGAGATGCTGAATCTATTTTTATTAATAATCTCAAATATCTTTTCCACTAGTGGAGGCACCTATCTCATTTTCCTTGGCCATAGTTACATTCTGTCAGTGGTGTTATTTCAGGATGCATGTCTAAGTAAAGGATGGAAAGCCAGATGTAAGCAAGAGTACCCACTTTCCCTGTCTTTTTCTGTCAGTCTCTGCTTCCTCCTCCTCCTCCTCTTCCAGATTTCTTTCTCTTTTTTTGACAGTCTCTTCATCTCTGCCTGCCCCCTTTCTCTCTTTCTCCCACCTACATTCCCTCTCTCTGTGTCATCGTGCTTTTCTGTCTCTGTGAGTGTTATCTCTCAAAGATTTACAGCAGTTTTGACAATGCTTTTAACTGCCATGCTTCCATGCAGCATTTGATGAGGTGCTCTCCTAGAGAATGCTAATGGTGTAATTTGAAGAATGCTATGGAAACTGCAGGACTGAGATTATCCTCACCAAACACCAAGATTGTTCAGGATGGAGCTTCTCCGGACTGGCCCATGATGCAACCAAATGTACCCTTTTGAACCTGTGATGGCAGCGGTCTGGAGTCTACATCGTCCAGCTAGGATGCCAGCTAACCTTCCATGTCACCATTGTTCCTTCCATCTGGCCACAGAGATCCATGTGAGCTCCTAGCTCCTCATTCTGGCATCAGAGATGTCTATGCAACTGGGGAAAAGGAAGGAGCTCTGAAGCTGGCTGTTAGCAGTGATGGCAGTGTGACAAGCACAATCCATTCCATTTTCCATGCATTTATGGGCACAGGGGAAAGGTCCATGTGGATCTATCTGGATTGAAGACCTGTCTGGATTGAAACTGAACCCAGCTGTCCATGCTGCCCTTCAGTTGCAGGATTCTCCATAATTTCAAGCAGACTCCAAAGCAACCCTGACTTTTTCTGAAGTGAGGCAAAGCTGAACTAACCCAGTTTAACTCACAGTACTCAGCAGAAGACAAGAAACATGAAGACAGTCAGGAGCCAACTCGGGATGAGTGCAGGTTTTAAAGTCTGTGTAGACAAGTCCTAAGTCTGTTCTCTCTTTCTTCAACCTTTCAATCCTCATCCTTTCCCTCCTCTTCATCCCTGTGAGTCTCAGTTCAGTGAGTTTGTGGGAAAGAGGTAGTTTGGATTGCAATGTCCCTAAAACTATACTATGCATAATTCCCATATGCAGCCAGCATGGTGTAGCTATTTGAATGTTGGACTATGATTCTGGGGACGAGGGTTTGAAACAGCCATAAAAATGCACTAGGTGATCTTGGACAGGTCACCGTCTGAGGCTCCTTCTACACTGCCATATAATCCAGATTATCAAAGCAGATCATCCACATGATCTGATTTGAACCGGATTATTTGAGTCTACACTGCCAGATAATCCAGTTCAAAGCAGATAATCTGGATTTTATATGGCAGTGTAGAAGGAGCCTCTGAAGTGAATTGAGTGGATCCTTCTCTCAAGTAAGAATAGAATAGGATGGAGTCATTTTCAGTCTTTGTGAATATTGCATTGTTTGAGGACTGCAGTTTAAAAGACCCAATGTTAAATGTAACTTTAGATGCATGAAAAGTCTTTTCTAATAAATATCCCAATGTTCTTCATAGTGATACAACTATCAGGCACCATCAATAGGGATAATGTGTTAAAAGTAGCATTCTGTTCATTGTGTTCCGCCCTCTTTCTGTCCAGCACATAGGGATCTCATCTTCCTTGTCACCTGCCATCTAATAGCAATGTGGAGCAGAAATATTAGGGTATACATGCAAAAATCTGCAATTATTTCAATAATAGCTTTGTGGTTGAAAAAAATGGCACTATCATTTTTGAACAGAGCTGTTTGTTATGTAAAGAAACAATTACTAGGAAATGATGTCTCTGCCTGGAGAGAATTGGTAATTGTCTACTTTTTAAAGTAATTTTTATCCAAAACGTATGGTGTTTGCCACCTAGTGGTTGTTTCTACGTCTTGGGCTTGCAATAAAGGAAGAGGCACTTCTTTGATCATAACTCTGCGTTATATTATAAACATCTGAAAAGCTAATCTCTGTATGAATTCTAACTAGGTAAGATGTAATTATCTACAAGGAATTGCTTGTTTGTTTGTAGAGTTATAAGACTTAAAGGGAATTTTTGGAGATGAAACAGTATAGATTCTGGGTTGTTGTAGGTTTTCCGGGCTATATGGCCATGTTCTAGAGGCATTTTCTCCTGACGTTTCGCCTGCATCTATGGCAAGCATCCTCAGAGGTAGTGAGGTCTGTTGGAAGTAGGAAAATGGGTTTATATATCTGTGGAAAGACCACATGTATAGATTCTGGCGTGTCTGCATCTGCATAATAATCATTTGTGGGACAAGAATAAAAACCAGGCTTTAGTGCCTCGCCAAATTACAAAAATCAGGATTCTATAGGATGTTGACGTAGCAGTTTAAATAGAATCGTAGTACTATGCCTGTGTGGTGTGCATAGTATCCTAGGCTGAGTGATGCTCCTGATGTGATCAGTCTGTGGCAAGGAGTCCCCAGTGGTACAATGGGTTAAACCCTTGTGCTGGCAGGACTGCAGATCGATAGGTCAGGGGTTCAAGTCCTGGGAAAGTGGGTTGAGCCTCCTCTGTCAGCTCCAGCTCTCTATGCGGAGACATGAGAAAAGCCTCCCAAAAGGATGGTAGAAACGTCAAAACATCCGGGCGTCCCATGGGCAACATCCTTGCAGACAACCAATTCTCTCACACCAGAGGCAACTTGCAGTTTCTCAAGTCTCTCCTGACATGAAAAAAAAGTCTGTGGCTATTGGCTAACCATGTAGTGTGAAAGAACTCTTGGACAGAGAGATTTGATTGATGATAGAAAATTGTAGTCAAACATACCTGGGTAGCATTAGATTAGGGAAAACTAGACTACTATCACTGAAGTTCAAATCCAAAAATAAACTATAAATTTGACAGTGTTAAGGATAATTGGTGAGGAAGGGGCAGAGAGAGAAAATACAAGAATCAGGTCGAGTTAAGAATTTCTGGATTTATAAAATAAGTTTATTTCCTTTCCCTTTGCTCTTCCTTTGTCTAAAGATAATTTTGCAGAGGTTGGTTCATTTCTTCGAATTTTCCTATTAGGGAAAACAAACGGTACCGAGTCTATGTAGTCATCCCTCTGCTGCCCGGATTTGAAGGTGATATTTCAACAGGAGGAGGAAATGCGCTGCAAGCAATCATGCATTTTAACTACAGGTATCATGGGTAGTTTGGATAAGGTGGATTCTTTTATTTTTAGCCACATATATGGCAGTCATTGTACACTGTGGGTAAAGGTCTGGGCTATACATGACTTTATTCAAGTGTCCTATTAACTTTTCACAAGCAAAAGAAATCTCTGAGTCAGAACTTGCCTCTGAATCCAAAGGACTGATCTGGGGAGCGGTCCCCACCATACCTGAAGGGCCCTTTCTCAAAGTTCAATCTGGCAGAATTTCCTTCTATAGGTTTCATGGAAAGCAGACAAAAACCCTGGGCAGGAGTAACCTTTGAAGAGAAGAGCTGTATTGCTTTTGAAGAGCTTTCAACACATCCTGGCCTGGCCTAACTCCCAAGACTTCTCTCTTCCCATGTGGTGCAAGAATTCATGTTTCATATTACTAATTCATCACCACAACCATAGGTGGGCCATGGTGGCACAGTGGGTTAAACCTTTGTGCTGGCTGAACTGCTGACCTAAAGGTCAGCAGTTTGAATCCTTGAGACAGGGTGAGCTCCGATCTGTCAGCTCCAGCTTCCCATGGAGAAAGAGAGAAACCTCCCACAGGATGGTAACACATCCAGGCATCCCCTGGGAAATACCTCTGCAGATGGCCAATTCTCTCACGCCAGAAGTGACTTGCAGTTTCTCAAGTTGCTTCTGACACAATTTTTTTAAATTAAAAAAAAAACAACTATAACAGTCATTTCAGGCAGATGAGCTCCCTCTATCAGCTCCAGCTCCTTGTGCGGGGACATGAGAGAAGCCTCCCACAAGGATGATAAAAACATGAAATCATCCAGGCGTCCCCTGGGCAACGTCCTGGCAGACGGCCAATTCTCTCACACCAGGAGTCACTCCTGACACAACAAAAAAATGCATATTGCTATCAAATAGCCAGCAGAGGGAGTACTGGCTATTGTGTTCTGCCTTGCTGAGAAAATCTCATATGAAGCATTTCCTCATTGGCTTTTTAATTAAGCATTTTCCATTTTTTCCATTTTCTCTTGAATAGCATTATTTCATTTATAGATAGCAGACTCCCTGTACCCACTACAAAATAGAAGAAAGGAAAGGCGTGGAGGTAATAAATTAGAAGCACGCTCATTAATACTGATTTTCCAAAGAGCAGTTATGGTTCTTCCATAGGTCTGATTTGCATACCCAAGATTTTGCAGATGTGAGGTGACTCCTTTGAGCAGTGCCTGCTGTAATGTGTAAATGTGTCATAACAGTGAGTCGTAAGTGTGATTCATTCTTTAGGGACTGTTCAAGAGTAACCCAAACAATGTGAATCCCCTCAGTGAGAGATTTGATATCTGGAAATTGTCTCACATGACTCACACTGCTTAGGGTTGCTTACAGACAACATAAATTAAAAATGGAGTGGGTGAGACTTCTATCATCATCATCATCATCATCTCACATTTTCACCTAAATTGGGACCCAAAGCAGCTCACAGTTTAAAAGAACATCATACAAAAGTCAATACAATCAGCCCTCTACATTCTCTGGGCTTTCGGCCACAGCACCCTTGTGAAAGAGGGTAGGTTATAAAGAGAGTATTATTGTTATTATCATTATCATTATTGGGTTGTTGTAGGTTTTTCGGGCTATATGGCCATGTTCTAAAGCATTCTCTCCTGACATTTCACCTGCATCTATCCTCAGAGGATGCCTGCCATAGATGCAGGCGAAACGTCAAGAGAGAATGCTTCTAGAACATGACCATATAGCCCAAAAAACCTACAACAACCCAGTGATTCCGGCCATGAAAGCCTTTGGCAGTATTATTATTATTATTAAAGTAGGTTAAGGTAAAGGTTTTCCCCTGACATTAAGTCTAGTCATGTCCAGCTCTGGGGTGTGGTACTCATTTCCATTTCTAAGCCAAAGAGCCGGCATTGTCCATAGACACCTCCAAGGTCATGTGGCTGGCATGACTGCATGGAGCACCGTTACCTTCCCGCCGGAGCGGTACCTATTGATCTACTCACATTTGCATGTTTCCGAACTGCTAGGTTGGCAGAAGCTGGGGCTGACAGTGGAAGCTCACACCGCTCTCCAGATTCGAACCTGTAACCTTTTGGTCAACAAGCTCAGCAGCTCAGTGCTTTAACCTACTTATTATTAAAGTAGAAAGCCATAAATTAAAAAATATGTGACAGCACCTTTATAAGGTGTTGTCACATATAGGCTAAATGTTAACTATACAGGCTAGATGTTAACTATAGAATCACATGAGAGGATCTAGAGATTCCTAGAGAATATTTTGATCAAACCCATGAATACTCAAATCTGCAAAAGCCAAAACCACAAATGTGGAGGGTGAACTATTAATATTAAGCTAACTAGAATATATTTTAAAATCATTTCAACAGAAAAAATGAAATTTAAAAGATAAAGACTTTTAAAAACAGTTCAGTTAAAATGATACAGCACCTCCTAACCAGTTCTTATTAAACTTTGTTTTAAAAGTCTGACAGAATAATAATAATAATAATAATAATAATAATAATAATAATAATAAAGGTTAGTTTGCGGTGAGTGAGAGGCATTTTCCCCTTTTCCATGAGATCACATAATGTATTTTCCCACCTGATAATACACCATATACTTCCATAACTATGTATTACAGGGGACATTAAGGGAAGCTTGACGCAGGTGCCTTTTGGCACTTCCTTGTCCATCTTCATACCTACTATAATTTCATCCTAAATTCATTTTGCCCAGAGGCAGATATATGTCAAATGTTGCTTTTGGTTAGCTTGTCTCGATGTTAATAAACAGATGTCCATTTGCAAGCTTCAGATGGCCCATTCCTGCCTGTCCAAAGTGAAAAACATGCCTTTGCTTTGCTAGTTTGCATCAGAAATCAAGATTGTGTGGCACTTTTCCTCCTAAATCCAACCTTCTCTCACAGTGTTGCCTTAGCTTCTGAATCAGTTGTCTCCCCTTGGCTCTCTTTCCTCTCCATTTTACAGAGAAATGTATCTGGCAATTTTAATTAGCTTCATCCTTGTAAACTCATTCACATGCTGCTGTTTTGTGACTTTAATTGCGGCCCTAATTCTTACAGGACCATGTGCAGAGGAGATAATTCGATCCTGGGACAGCTGAAAACCGAGAGTAAGTGCTTTGCCTCGCCTCACTGTGCGCTTCGTACTGTTGGGCTTTGAGGACACTAAACTTTGATTGATACGCTATAAAGCACACGTTAGCCGCCACATAATTGCTGGATTGTATAACTAGGAGCACGGGAGGCCTCAATTATGTCAAGACAATCTTCAGAGTAAAGAAAACAAACTAGCAAAACAACATCTGGGTGTCAGATGAAAACAGAATATAGCTGCTGTTTTCAGCATCCCTTTGGATGCAGCTCAAAGTGAATTATTCTTCCTGTTTTCCTCTAGACTAGTGAATGTGGTTTAGTCATAAGAACTGGGAGGACAGGGAGAATCTGAATGCTAGATAGGGTATCTGTGGCCAAACACCACCTTAAGGATGTGTGATTTCCCCTATGGAACACGTAGACATTTTTGTGTGACATGCAACATCCACATTCAGTTCAGGGTCATGGAAATTTGATTGTGTGTTCCTGCATGGCAGGGAGTTGGACTGGAAGGTCCTTGTGGTCCCTTCCAACACTATGAAATGGAGTTCTTTGTACATGGAGATGTCAATTTTTGGCCAACAAACATCTCTCTGCCCTGCTGAAATTAACGATAGCGTTCCTTCAGTTGTGAATTTCATTGTGCATTCCATTGTACGATCCTATCATCCAATACCAGAATTACATAGGACAATTGTAGATTAAGAAAGATATAAAAAAACTGGGCCTTTGCACAGTTAAAGCTTGTGCACCAGCTGCGACTGTACCTTGAGGAGTCTGAGAAGTGGTCCATGCCTTAGTTAGAGAGTGGACAACTCCCTGTTAAAACAGCTCCACTGGCTGCCGATAAGTTTCTGGTCCCAATTCAAGGTGCATGTTATTACCTACAAAGCCCTAAACCATTTGGGTCCAGCCTATCTTCATGATCGTATTTTCCCCTATGAACCTGCGCGAGCTTTAAGATCTGCTGGGGAGGCCCTTCTCTCACTCCCACCTCCGTCACAAGCGTGGTTGGTGGGGACGAAGTAGAGAGCCTTTTCAGTGGTGACCCCCCGGCTCTGGAACTCTCTCCCCAGGGAGATTAGATTAGCGCCCACCCCATCCACTTTCTGTAAAGACCTACAAACTTGGATGTTCCAATGTGCCTTTGATTAATCAGTTCACTAGATTATTTGACTCCTGCACTTTAAAATTAGCCCCGCCCTTGCAGCTGTATTGCACAAATTGACTTGGTCCTTTTAGCCCTAACTTATTATCTGGCTCTTGAACTTTACTATCAGCCCTATCCTTGTAGTTCTATTGCATAAGCTCTTGTCTCTCTCTTTAGTTCTGAACATGTCCACTGTACTCGGCTACTGTTGTTGTTTTTTATATATATATAATATCTCGGCTACTGTTGTTGATTGATGGTTTATGTTTTTATTGTGTTATATTTTAATTCTGTTTGACTGGGCCTAGTCCCCATGTAAGCCGCCCTGAGTCCCTTCGGGGAGATGGTGGCAGGATACAAAAAAAAATTGTTGTTGTTGTTGTTGTTATTATTATTATTAGTATTACTATTACTATTACTATTACTATTATTATTGCTGCTGCTACTGCACATCCCTGATACGGAATTTCAGCTACTGTGTCCTGGTTCTAGAAGACAATGCCCTATTTTAAGAGATGTCAGAAGACAATTCTTTGTTTGACAGTGTCTTGCATGATTCTACACAGTCCAGCTCTCTTTAAAAATAATTATTATTAAAGGAGAAAGAACAAACTGTCCTGCTTCAGGACAAGGAGAGCTGACCAATTTGCTAACACATCAGCTTCTTGTTGAACCAGTAAGATGTTTCTCCTAATGTTTCACCAAAATCTAATCTCCATAACCTTTTCTTCCCACTCTCTTTTTACCTATTCCCCTTTGTGTTCTTCAGTGGGAGAACAGTGGATTAACTATATCTCCTTCTGTGGGCTCCGAAACCATGCTGAGCTGGAAGGGAAACTTGTCACAGAGTTGATCTATGTTCACAGCAAGCTGATGATTGTCGATGACAACACAGTCATAATTGGTACGTGAAAAAGTTGCAGACAATGTGTGTCAATTCTACTTGTGTGAGTATTGTGCCACAGACCAGAGATTTGCAGTACTCTAATCGTTTTCTAAGTTTTTTTTTAAAAAAACTGCCTTTTGAAAAGCAAGAAATTGAAATTTGTAACTGTAGTGGGAACTAACTTTATTTGGACCTTGGAAATGTAACTACAGTAGAGTCTTGCTTATCCAACCTTCGCTCATCCAATGTTCTGTATTATCCATCGCAGTCTGCCTCCTGCCTGGATCGACAGCTGTTTCAATACATTATGATGTTTTGGTGCTAAATTTGTAAATACAGTAATTACTACATAATGTTATTATGTATTGGAACTGCTTTTTCTGTCGATTTGTTGTAAAACATGATGTTTTGGTGCTTAATTTGTAAAATCATAATGTATTTTGACTTTTAATGGCTTTTCCTTCATCTTGCCTTATTATCCAACATTTTTCGCTATCCAACGTTATGCCAGCCTGTTTATGTTGGATAAGTGAGACTCTGAGGTATAGTTAAGAAATAACTTTCCAAGCTCTGCTCTGGCTGGTGGCAACTGCTGAAAGCACCTCAAGTATAGAGGGCATCATTATGTTAAATGGAACCACTTTGCTTGATTCTACACTTGACTCGATGTAATGTTTGAAGAATTAAAATGGATTGGTAAAAGACATTTCCATTTTGTCTTTTTCCATGAAGATCTTTTGTGAAGAACCAGACCCATCTGGCTCATATAAAAGTTGTGATTTATCTCACAACTTGGGCAATTTGTCATGTGCTCCTCTGAGAACAGAACATGTTGTGAAATGTGGCTTCTTTATGCCCACATGTGTCCTTCATCAGCTTCTGTTGGAAGGGCAACTAATATGCCAAAAATATGACACCAATTTTCCTGTTTCCCCCTCTCTCTCTCTTTTTCTCTCCCCCATACACACACAATTAAGAAAAGCTGACAGCCATGATGTGTTATTGTTTTGTGTTTATGTTACATCCTACTATGGGTAATTTCAGGGGGGAAGAGAAATAATTAAGATCAACAAATATTAAATAATGAAGCAACTAGACTTTTCTGGGAGGTGGGAATAATATTAGTTTGATTTTGTGCATTTTTGCAGTTAGAGCTTTCTTAACCTTGTTGGAGATAATCTAAGTGAAACAAGATCCATGTTCTGTTTTAGGCTAAAGGGTATTTATGTTTTTTCCACATGACTAATATGCATGTGCTAAGGTTTATTTACTGTATTATACCCCGACCTTCTCACCCAGAGGGAGACTGAGAGCGGCTTACAAATTATGGCAAAATTCAATGCCGCGGTATATGTGCCAGCTGCGCCCATACCTTGGGAAGTCTGACTTGGCCACGGTAGTCCATGCTATGGTTACATCTCGTATAGACTACTGCAATGTGCTCTACATGGGTCTGCCTTTGGAAACTATTCGGAAGCTTCAAATGGTCCAGCGAGCAGCAGCCAGGTTGCTAACCGGAGCAGCGCTCAGGGAGCATACAACTCCTCTGTTGCCCCAACTCCACTGCCTGCCAGTTTGCTGCCAGGCACAGTTCAAAGTGCTGGCTTTAGCCTATGAAACCCTAAATGGTTCTGGCCCAGCTTACCTGTCTGAACATATCTCTCCTTATGAACCATATAGAATTTAAGATCATCTGGGGAGGCCCTGTTCTCGATCCCACCTTCTTCGCAGGCGCTTTTGGTGGGGATGAGAGACAGGGCCTTCTCAGTGGTAGCCCCTCTGCTGTGGAACTCCCTCTCTGGGGATATTAGATTGTCCCACTCCCTCCTGACCTTCCAGAAAAAAGCAAAAACCTGACTCTTTGGACAAGCCTTTGAAAATGCAGCGTAATAGATAAACATGGAACTATGAAAGAACAGAACATGGAATGGCCTAGACAATGCTATTGGAAAATGAGATTAACAGGAAGACATTGATTTTTATATAATCTAAAATAAGCAATAATGATTTTCTCTGTTCCCTTAGTTGTACTTACTACTAAACATGTAGTTAGTCCTTACATTAAGTTGGGATGGGGTTTCAAATGAAGATCGGTTTGCATCTTCCACCACAACCACCATGGGAACTATTCATTCCAAAATGACTTTTTTTTAATAGGAAGGGTATTTCAAATTCAAGTGGCTCGGGATTCCATAGGATTCAGCCATGATAACTGAAGTGGAATTGTAGTGCTATAACTATATATTCATACTGTGGAAAAACCTCATGTTGCGCAGCCATTCAGAGATAAGAAATTTCAGGGGATGTCACTGGGAAATTATAGAGTTGAAAGAGACCTAACTTTCAAATCCCAATTTCTCATCTAATTTTCTGTCCATGCAACAATCGCAATTAAAGCATCCTTTGATAGTTGTGAATTCAGGTTTCCAAACAAGGAGGATACACTACTTTCCAAGATAGTGCATTCTACTGCCAAACAGAAAGTACCTTTGGGGAGATAGAGCCGAATATAAATAAGTTATTATTATTATTATTATTATTATTATTATTATTTAGTTCCGTTTCCTTTCCTATAACATGAATCCATTGGTTTGACTTTCCAGCGCTTTTGACCTATCATCTGGTCAGAAGTGTTATCTCAACTGCTTCAATTTTAGTTTTACTGTAGAATTCTGATAGAACTAGACCTACATAGTAGCCATTTCATGCCATTGTCAGTTTAAAAGTTGTAAGCAACATCCATGTATTTCACCCACCTATCATTTAGACGCAATCTTTTTTTTTAATTGCAGTTGGTTTAGCTACATTTTTTGTTCACAAGGATAGATGACTACAATAGGGCCTCTTGGTAGTGCTGTGGGTTAAACCTCTGAGCTGCTGAACTTGCTGACCGAAAGGTTGGTGGTTCAAATTTGGGGAACAGGGTGTGCTCCCGCTGCTAGGCCCAGCTTCTGCCAACCTAGCAGTTTGAAAAACATTCACGTGTGAGTAGATCAACAGGTACCACTTCTGCAGAAAGGTAACGGCACTCCTTTGCAGTCATGCTGGCCACATGACCATGGAGGTCTGAGGCTGAGAGGAGATATGATAGCCATGTATAAATATGTGAGAGGAAGCCACAGGGAGGAGGGAGCAAGCTTGTTTTCTGCTTCCCTGGAGACTAGGATGCAAAACAATGGCTTCAAACTACAAGAAAGGAGATTCCATCTGAACATGAGGAAGTACTTCCTGACTGTGAGAGCCGTTCAGCAGTGGAACTCTCTGCCCCGGAGTGTGGTGGAGGCTCCTTCTTCGGAAGCTTTTAAACAGAGGCTGGATGGCCATCTGTCAGGGGTGATTTGAATGCAACATTCCTGCTTCTTGGCAGGGGGTTGGACTGGATGGCCCATGAGGTCTCTTCCAACTCTTTGATTCTAGGATCCTATGATTCTATGAGGTGTCTATGACAACGCCAGCTTTTCGGCTTAGAAATGGAGATGGGCACCACCCCCAAGAGTCGGACACGACTAGACTTAATGTCAGGGGAAACCTATATCTTTACTTTACTTTAAACAGACATCCTACCCATTGTGAAATACCTTTCATTATGCATTCATAAACACTCCAGTGGCCAAAGTACATTTTACAATTCATATGTAATGTTATTGCTTACTCTTAAAATGAGATGCATTGGAATATATTGGAATTCTCATTGTGCTCGGAAAATACTCCAGGTTAAGAAGTGCAATCAAAGTTTGTTTTTCAAAAAAAAAAAGACTGTATGAATAAATTATGGATTGGATTTGCATGCATCTCTTCCTGGTAGCCATGAATTCTGTTTTAAGGAAAATAAATCATGATTTTGGTTATGATATCCCCAAATGGGAAGCTGGTCAGGAAAGGCGCTATAGCAAATCCCATTGACTCTGACAAATTGATCTATCTACCTTGTTTTGTCAGAGTTCATTAGTAGAGTGACAACACAATCCTATAGCTATCTACTGAATTTAATTCCAATTCCATTCACTGGGGCTTACTTCTAGATAATTGAGTGAAGGGTTTTAGTCTTAACAGAGATATCCCAGTTGCTTAAATTTCGAGTATAAGTTGTGCCATTTCTTCTAGTGAAAATTGATTGTGAGCCTCCTAAAAATCCATGTTTTTAATACACATACCCCTAAAAAACCATATATTTGAAACTTCATTTAGTAAGATGAAAGATTGCATACAGAAATGCATAAATTTTAAAATGTGTGAAAATATGTGTGTGTTTTTTTAATGTAGAAAATACACCGGTTACTTTGCAAGAAGGAATGAGCAACATTTTGTAATCTGATTTCAAATGAGAACGTGACAGGAATGCAGATGAGATTTGGGGAAACCCAGTATTATTGAAACTCGTTTAGCATCTTTATTTTAGAAGGATTGCTGGATATTCTGCACTTTTCCAAGGTTTCCTTTCATTGACCAATTTCCAATTGCTTTTGCAATTATTCCACACCAGCACTCTTTTTTAAAAAGAAAAAAAGTCCTCTTCCTCCTCTAATAATACTGACCTGAAAACTGTTAATGATATACACATGCCCGTGCTTTCTTTTATTTGGGGCTCAAGGAAATGCATGATTAGAGTGTTATCCTCCACCTGCCTGATCACAGTCACTGGAATATGAATAAATAAATAGTCTGGAGAAAGCCTATCAATGAAATTGGGGTGAAGCATACAAATTATGGTCTTTTTGTCCTCCTGTGGCAGATTAATTGAATGGCATCACCAAATTTGAACTATTTTGCTTATAATAAAGCTCAACTTCATGTATTAGAACCAGTGTTAGTATGCATTAAGGTCAAATCTGAATTGTAAATTGCTGTGGTACTTCCAAGTATTTTAAGTGAATTGCTTTGTTGATACCAAGTGTTTTCTGAGTAGCTTTCCCTCCTTCCACCCTCTCTCTAATAGGCTCAGCTAACATCAATGACCGCAGCATGCTAGGGAAACGTGACAGTGAAATGGCTGTTGTTGTGCAGGACACGGACACTGTTCCTTCTGTCATGGATGGAGAGGACTACAAAGCTGGAAGATTTGCTCAGTCTCTCCGCCTTCAGTGCTTTAGGTATCACACATGTCAAATGTCATGATGAAACATCTCTCTCTATATATATATGCTCTGTTTGTTTTGAGTGACATCATAACTCAAAAATCGCTGGATTAATTGCCACCAAATTAGTCCACAAGGCACCTTCTAACCCAGGGAGTGACCATCACTCAAAACATTTTGATTTTGTCATTTGAGAGTTGTAGTTGTTGGGATTTATAGTTACAATCAAAGAGCACTCTGAACTCCACCAATGATGGAATTGAACCAAACTTGGAACACAGAACTCCCATGGCCTACAGAAATCACTAGAAGGGTTTGGTGGGCATTGGCCTTGAATTTTGGGATTGTAGTTCATCCAGAGAGCACTGTGGACTCAAACAATGAAGGATCTAGACCAAACTTGGCACGAATACTCCATATGCCCAAATTTGAACACAGATTGAATTTGGGGAAAATAGACCTTGACCTTTGGGAGTTGTAATTGCTGGGATTTATAGTTCACCTACAATCAAAGAGCATTCTGAAACCCACCAACGATAGAATTGGGCCAAACTTCCCACACAGAACCCCCATGACCAACAGAAAATACTGGGTTTTCTGGTGGTCTTTAGCAACCCTTCTGACACCTCCTTGCAACTCCCCCAGGGGTACTGATCCCCAGATTGAGCAATGCTGCCTTAAGGCCACCCAGTCCAGCTCCCTTCACCAGGGCAATAAAACATTAATCAAAGCCCTCCCGACAAAGAGTCATCCAGCCATAGATATAGATAGATATATATGATTCACACACACACACATGAAAGATATGTATCATAAATTTGAAAGAGACCCCTAAAGAAGGACAATAATGTGTTGCATGTACCAGAGTAGGCAAACCAGTCAATCTCTACATCAACAATGACAAAGGAACAAAAAGAAATACTGTTTACTCACAAGCATAAAGAAATTATAAAGAAACCAACACTTTCGCATTACTTTATTTTCCAGATCACTAGACTGGACCACAGCAAAGCATGGCAGCGGATGGCTAGCACTTTACAAACAATAGATCTTCCCAATTTTACAGTGCAGATTTATGCATGAGTTTATTACCAGGAGACTAAGTAGGATTACAGCCTTGAGGTTATGTCGTCACTCTGTCAATTATCTATGTAATCAAATGTGTTTTTTTCACTGATGAAACTGCTATCAATTAGCAGTACCAGGAAACAGTGACTCCTCTTTGCAGCCCAAGAAATTGCCCTCCCATGGTTGGGGGGTAGGGGGCAGGGGCATCTCTATTATTAGAAATAGTGGGGTGTCCACTGCAGGTAGTAAGTGAGGTGCAGCCGTAGCAGTTTTGTGCCTATTATTTATTTATTTATTTATTTACTGTATTTGTGTACCGCCCCTCTCAGCCTTCTGGCAACTCGAAGTGGTAGGTTGTAGGCCATAGGTTCAATCCCTGGGTTCTCTAGGAAGGTCTACAACTCTGAACAATTGCCATGGTCATTCTGCCTAGAAGATTCTGAGTATTACAGTTTCAAAAGGCAGATTTTTCCAAGCTCTGCAGAATATTTTTGTCAGAAACCCTTAAGAGAATCTTTAGTCAGTACTGAGATTCTGTGTTCCAAGAAGATACTTTGTTGTTTATTGTGTTCCTTCAAGTCACTTCAGACCCATGGCAACCCTAATGTGACCCTATTTTCATGGCAAGATTTGTTTGGAGGGAGTTTGCCATTCCCTTTCCATGAAACTAGGGAGTTTGACTTGCCTGAGGTCACCCAGTGGGTTTCTATGGCCTAGTGTGCATTTGAACCCTGGTCTTCAGACTCCAGATCTAACACTTTAACCACTACACCATGCTGGCTCATTCTAAGAAGTATAGAGACTTCTTGTTGACATGGTGGCGAGGGAAAAGAAAATAAGTATATCTTTTGCTGCAATATAGAGGTGTTTTGTTTTTTGTTTTTTTTTTTGAAGCTTCCATCCCAATATATGTATGTGCTGCAATTAAACCAAAGTAGCTAGCTCTTGTCATGTCTATTTTGACCTTTTCTATGTCAAGAAAGGAACATTTCAGTTCAACCTCAATTGATAGTCTGGTTTTTAAATGTGGTGGTTCTTTGCACTAGTGCTCAAATCATGAACCAAAATGAGATGAGGATATCTTAAATCCATTTGCAATACTCCCAATATGCTGTCCATTTCCCATTGAGGCCTTTTGGAGTTTGGAGGCTAATAGGAAAGGCAACAGGGAACATCAGAAGTTATCTCATACCAAGTCTGGCCACTGATCTGTCAAGTCCAGTATTACCACTTCGTATCATCAGAGTTATAAGCAGTCTCTAGCCCAGTTTTGAGATCCTTAGTTGTCATCAATCAAAGTACTTAACACCAGTAGCCTTGTTATTCTCAAGTAAGAGAAAATTTTAGGATGTGTTTGGGGATGGTATGTCATTTCTTCTTATGACTTTCTGTATTTGACATGGACACATGTCGCTAGTTTCCAGAAGAACAATCTCATAGTTACAATGTTGGACTAAAATCCAGTGTCCCAGCCTTCTCTAACCTGGAACCTTGCAGTGTTGGACTTCAACCTCAACTTCCCAGCCAGCATGGGAACCATGTCAGAATGATGCGGTAGAGTTTATGGCTCAATACTTCTGGAGAGCAACAGATTGGGAATGTTGCTGTTGGTTGAGAATGCTCAATGGTAGAATATATGTTCTACCTCCAGAAAATCCCAGCCTCCTGAGTTAAAAGTAACACTTACAGGAAAGATTGTTCCTAGCCTGAGACTTGATGCCTGTCAAAGTAGACAATATGAGCTTGATGGGCGACTAACTGACCTGGCATGTGTCCACACATGCCATGCTCATAGTAATTTGATATCATTGTATCTTCCATCACTCCATTTTATGGAATTCTGGGATTTGTAGTTTGGTGTAATTTGGTATTTCAGATTCTCTGTTAAAGAGCTCTAGTGTTGTATTTGGCAGGGGATGGATTAGAGGTCTCTAGCAGAGGATTTGAAGAACCTCAACAAATTACAAATTTCAGGTTCTGTAGGATAAAACCATGGCAAATTAAATGGTATCAAGCTGCTGTAATTTTGCACTGTACATCTTTCTCAGCATGAGGAAGCTTCCTATGATGCCATCATTTTGATTTATGATTTAACCTCTTGTCATTTCCAGCTTGAAAACTTGCATCCAATTTACACTAAGTCTGGCCACATGTACACAATACCCTTCCCAATCTTCCTTAATGTACTGTCTTCTCATCTAAAGGCGTCTTTATTTGAAAAGTCTCTCCAAAATGAATGCTGCCACTGCCAGAGTGTGAAATACAATTAGCAGGGCTTCTTGAATTGCAAGTGCTATCAAACTGACCAGATGAATGGCAGGGGAGCTGCCACGGAGTAAATTAACCAGGGTTTTCTTTGACATATATCTGCCTCTCTGAAATCCACAACTCTTGGGTAATCCACCTGGACAGTATGAAAAAAACAGGACAGGGCAATCAGAAACTTCATAATCAATTTCAAACTTTGGTTGTCTTTGACTCAGGAAACTTCAATTTTTTCCCTAACACCTTTTTTACTGTGTATTTTTGATTCCAAGAACAATCATCCCAAAGTACCAATACTGTTACATTTTCATGTGTTCCTTATTTTCTCCCGTCCTCAGAGTTGTCTTTGGCAGTTCAGTTGACGCAAATGATCTCCAAGATCCTGTTAGTGACAAATTCTTCAAGGAAGTGTGGGTTGCTACAGCTGCACGCAATGCCACCATTTTTGATAAGGTAAAATACTTATTTGTCGCTGTTGTACCTTTTGCTGTTGAAAGATGTAAAGGGAAGTGCAGATGACCTGGTTTTGTAGGTTAAAAGGTAAATCTAGACAAATAGGGAGTCAAAGAATGTTGGTTAGACTTTACAGAGTTTAGTTGTTTGCTAGTTTTGCCTGAAAATCTTCACCAACATATTTCATTTTTTTCCTCCACAAAGTAGAAAGTCTGAGAGATGAAGAAACTTAGCAAATATTGTCAATTAAATGCAGGCAGCATGACTTTCTTAAAATAATTCGGGCAATTTTGAGATTGGAGATGAATTTTCTGGTGGCGCAGCAGGTCAAACCACTGAGCTGCTGAACTTGCCGACTGAAAAGTTGGTGGTTCGAATCCAGGGAGCAATGTGAGCTCCTACTGTTAGACCCAGCTTCTGCCAACCTAGAAGTTCATAAACATACAAATGTGAGTAGATCAATAAGTACCACTTCTGTGGAAAGGTAACAGCACTTCATGCAGTCACACTGGCCACATGACCTTAGAGGTGTCTATGGACACTGGCTCTTCAGCTTAGACATGGAGATGGGCACCACTACCCAGAGTCTGACACGACTAGACTTAATGTCAGGAAAAACCTTTACCTTTACCTTTTACATATATAAATCTAGACATTTTAGTACTAAAAATCAGCCTTAAAAAACTGGGGTTTACTTATCCACGGGTCAATGTTATTTTTTATTTTAAAGAGATTTGTCTTCTTTTCTGAACAGAGTACTGAAAAGCAGGGCTTAGGTCATCATAGAAAAACCCAAAAGAAGCCTTGGACACCCCCCCCCCAAAAAAAAACAAACAAAACACACACACACGCACACCACCATGGCACCACTTTTTGGCCTATTTGAATTGTCTGGGTGAAAATGCTAATGTTGGACTTTTCCCTCTTCATACAATGGCCTTTTACTTATCTACAGGTCATGTTGTTGTTGTGTTGTTCATTCGTTCAGTCGTCTCCGACTCTTCGTGACCTCATGGACCAGCCCACGCCAGAGCTCCCTGTCGGCCGTTACCACCCCCAGCTCCCTCAAGGTCAGTCCAGTCACTTCAAGGATGCCATCCATCCATCTTGCCCTACAGGTCATATCTACATCCATAACATTGGCTGCCAAACCTGCCCTCAAATGAGGTTGACTTACACAGGAATATAAATGGTTCTATTCTAGAGCTTTAGTAATGTTATGCTCTTCTAATGACTTCTATCCTTTATCTCATCTAACATTTCTTGAATTAGGTTTTCCGATGCCTTCCCAGTGACCAGGTAACCAACTTAGCCCAGTTACGGGAATTCATCACCATACCAAAACTTGCTTGTGAGAATCCTGCAAAAGCAGCAGAAGAACTCAAGAAGATCCGAGGATTTCTAGTCCAGTTCCCTTTTCGTTTTCTAGATGAAGAAAATTTGCTTCCTTCTGTTGGAACAAAAGAATCCATGGTTCCCATGGAAACTTGGACTTAAAACGACTTAGCCTAAATTGGATTTTTTAAAAAAACGGGGGAAAACCCAGGGTCCCGTGGAAACCTCCTGGATGAATTTATGGTTGCCTGGGACCTTTTTGCCCTTGGAAGAGAAGCCTGCACTGATCCAGAAGTGCCTTTGATGGGAGAAAAATCTGATATATCAGGGAAGAACAATGGATAACTGACAAATTCTACCTACTAATAAGTTATGCTATATTTAAACAACCTGAAAATGAAGGGAATGCAAACCAAGAGTCCATAAATCATACTACAAGACACTGCATTTGTTCCATGCATGCTTAGTTTCCATGTCTGGTTCTTTGAAACAACTGGGATATGCCATCGGCTGATAATATCCATTGGTTCAACTGTTCAATATCTGGGAATCCATTTTTACACTGTAATTTAAAGCCACTTCTTATGGAATTATCTCTTGTATCAGGAAATGTGAATATATATATCTATGTGTCCAATTTCAGAGCAATGCACTGAAAACTTAACTGAGTGCTGTGGAGATGCATGTGCTGTAATTGTGACAATGCTCCCATAGTGGTGTGTAGGCAATTTATGTTGCTTAAATCTTGAACTCTAGATGATCTAGCTAGAGTTTCTTTTTTAATTCCTCTTTTTGGTTTTCTCTAAATTGTGTAACAACTGCTGAGAACACTGCGTGATGACACAATACTACTTTCGGCATGACTGTGATCACTGTTTATTAAGTAGGTCGTAAAACTTTGCACAAAAACCTTCTCAGCTTTTCAGCACTGTATTTAGAACAAGAAATACTTGGCATGCTCACATGTGTCCCATTAGAACAATAAGTACTTATACTTTCTGAGACAGTGCTGGAAGAACTTGGTACTAGTTAGTCCATCCTGTTTTGTGCACAAGCTTGCATAAAAGTATTTCTGGACAATGGATTGCCAAGGTCCACAGTTTCCCAGAAGGGACCAATTAACATTTTTCTGCTGACCACTAAATGTGACAAAAAATTGCTTGATCAAGTCTGTAATGTCTGCAATCAAACAGGATACAATATGTTTTAAGATATTTTTGTTGACATAGTGGCGTGTCTAAGTGCTGGATTAAGATTCCCTGCTTGGCCACTGAAACCCAACCACATGCCATTGGGGAAGTCATGCTCTCTAAGCCTAAGCAGTGACAAATCTCCTCTGAAAACTGCCAAGAAAACTGACAGAGTTGTTAAGTCAGAGTTGAATTGAAGACGCATAACAACAATAAAACAATCACTTTTGATCCCCTGCTGCTGCCAATGAACTGTAAATTATCATTGAGCAAACAAGTATATCATACAGCATGAACAATGTACTAAAGCAGAATTAAGTGGGAAGGACTACAGTTCAGTAATTTACATGCAAACTTGTCTAGGATGCAGCCATTGTAGGATGCAGAGATGACTCAAGAGGCAAATACAGAGTAGACTTGAAGGGGGCAGTGCTTGTACCCATAAAAGCCACTTTGTTTTCCAGGGATGAATCATCTACCTGGTCAGAAATTTGCTTTTGCAGGTCTGATCTCACTTCATAGGTACCTAGCAAAAATGGCAACATTGCTGCTTAATTACTATCACTGTTTTCTTATAGAGGCAAAGGAAACTAATCTAAGACTTGTAGTTATCCCACCAGGGAAAATATGTGATGTTTTACTGAGCATAGGTTTAACTTCAAAAAATGGCAGTGTGTTTTTTTAATAGTCTAAAATGTAACTGGCATTTCCATCTCCAGCTTAAGCACTTATGTCACCTGCATTAATTAGATATAGAACACTGTGTAATTTCAGCCGATAATAAGAAACACTGACATTCCTCAAGGGCAGACCCAGTGCCCAACTTGACTGCAAGTGACTACAGAGAGAGGTTTTTCATGCTGCTCATTAGTGGCATAGTCAGAAACCATATGCATTCTTCAAAGTCAGTGATTTGGTGGCGCATTTTGATCTTTCAATAATTCATGCCCAGCAGCCTTACAGGGAAGAACCCACATGGCTAATATGTGTTTCCATAATGTATCACCTATTGCATTTATCACTTTTGTGCTTTCTCAGGATGAGGTTTTTTGAAAAAAAATTCATTGTTACTTGTCATGAGCTTTGAGGACAATCCCATTTTTGGCAAATCTGGTTGATGCATAGGGCTGTTTTTCTGGGAGACCTTTGGAAGTGTAGGGATTAAGAATGGACCACTTTGTCATTCGATTCACATTAGATTGTTTTGAGTAAGTCTGACTCTAGTTCCAGAAATCCCAGAAGTAGCAGGGACAGGAGAATGAATGAATTAATTATTTCAGAGAAGATGCTTTTTGGTGACTTATTCTTACATAAATGAGGTTCATACTTTTTCAGAAATGGCGTAAGGAGGTATCAAATGTCTTCCTTACACATAGATTTTGGCTCAGCTGTACAACTGCTATTGTATGGTACTGGGTGCAGCTGGACTCCCCCTCTAAACAACCACTGATTAGTAAAGGTGCCCATCATATTGTCACCTGGCTGTAGCTGTCACTGTTGGAGATTTCCATGTAAATATAGTACTAGAATTTTATGCTCCACTGGTGCTGAAGTTAAGGGGAAGTTCAGTTTTGCGGAGAGAAATAAAAAATGTACTCATTGTCATATAACTATCACAGAGAGCTTAACTATTGGAGACATCAGCATTGATAGACCAGCAGTGAATGTATTTATGTGTTGGATGTCTTTATAGAAATAGCAAACCATTGTCCCAGAGGAAAAGTGCATGGTTAAAATGGCAAACTAGGCAAGAGCCCCAGTGCCTGTTTACAGCTGCAGAAGTTTATTTGGCAGAATTGTTTTGCACAATATTTTCTCAAAAAATTATAATGTCTTTGATAGGGATACATTCTGTTGAGTTAAATTGAAAAAAATGAGCCATCTCATGGCACTTTTGGGCTATTGATCTGTTCAGTTTCGTTACCCAGAGAAGAAATAAGCCAGACAAGAATGAGAAGATAACCTGGATATCAATCATACTTTTTCATTGACCCTGTGATATGTCTGACCTCTTTGTGAATCACTCTACCTTGATTGGTCTATGTGGATTAATATTTTAAGTGTTCTGCTGACCTTGACTCCTTCCTATTTCTCTAGCTTCAAATTGCATGTCACTCTAGGAACTAAAATCAGAAAGTAGGAGATATTGGTCTAAATTTATCCCATGAAGACCCCAGGATTTTGCCAGCTGCTGAAGAATCAGAAGGAGTACATCATTTAATTTGGGGAGAAGCCATAGATGTAGAATGCATGCTACCTATTTTCACCAGGGATGGATATACTTAAAGGACTTTTTTATTAAAAAAAATCCAGATTTTAAACAAATTAGATCATACATTTTCCAATCTACTTCAAATCACCCAGGTATCTACCAATAGATCTCAAATGTTCTGCTGACCCCTGATTCTCAAGGCTGGGGTATTTTGAATAACATGTGGAGATGTCCTTGACATGCTCATTGTCATTTGAGATGTAGCTGTTAGATAACATGTTAGGGCCTTCTCAAATTATGGCACACCTGCTGAGATTGTTCAGCATGGTTTGGCATAAAAGCAACTTGAAGGTTTTGCTTCCTTCCTTTTTATGTAATATTGTTATGTTGTCGTGTCTGTTGTTCTACATCAATGTCATTGTTATTTTATTATTGTTCTTTTTACTGCTGACTGTATATGCCATTGGGGGTCCATGTGTAGAAGCAAAGGCAAATTACAAACTGCTTTATTAATAGAAAAAGGACTCTGGTTATACAGACAGGAAGGCACCCTATGCACTTCTCCTAGAGTCACGACTTTTTGGGGGCCTTCATGAAAACTTGATCTCCCATTGCTGCTGTAATTGATAACAGTTTGAAGCCTGCTGAATCAGGAATCCATGAGATTGAAGGACAAAAGGCAGTATTGATTGAAATAATCCTGCAGCCAGTATAGAATCAGAATGAAAGCCAGCAACTAATGGAATTCAGAGACACTTTCCTTCTGACCTTTTTAGGGGGGAAAGAAGTGTTCTTTTTGTTTTATTGCAGTCATCACAAGCTCCTTTGTTTTCTCAGCATTGCTTCCCCCCTAAAATAGATGTAGACACTGAGAAGTAAGTATAATTTATTTGTTTCCATCCTTGATACAGAGATGATGGAAGAAAAACAAAGTAAGCTTTGTAATTGGCTGGTGAAGTTCTTTTTGCATTAATGGAGTTCTCGCTGGATTAACTAGGTGGCAAGATAAGCCTTTTTTTAAAAAAAATCTTTAGAGAGATTGGAACAATGTTATGTATCTGTGAAAGTACATGAACACTGAATATGCCTTCTGTGAAGGATGCAGCAATGCCATTTGTTTTGTTTTATACTGTCAATCTTGCTAATGGCTGCTTTTGTCATGATTTTTCCTGCCTCTGTAATTGGGAATACTTAACATGTTCATCAGCTGAAAAAAATATAACTAAAATGTAACATATCTGCAAAGTTTGCATTAATGGGTCTTGTTTATGAGAGTCCTAGAAAGCTCAAAATCTTAATCTCCTTTCATGTTCGATCAAGCACGATATGAACCTTTCTCACTTGCAAATGGCAGAATTAAGATCATTTTATTTCAGTGTGGGCTTAGTAGTAAATTGAGTGCCCGCAGATACTGGATTTGGCATTATTATTATTATTATTATTATTATTATTATTATTATTATTATTTCTTACCTGCCTCTCCTCAAGGCTCAAGGCTGGTTACAGCACTGTCAAACACACAAACATTGCAAAAATTCTATAATCACACATATTAAAATGTAGTTCTATAAAAGATACATATTAAAACGTATTTCCATATAATACATATTAAATACACAGGACAGAGATTAAAAGACAGGACACATGTTTTTAATTCATGCTTAAAACTGGCTGGATAGGCCTGACAGAAGAGATAGAACTTGAGATGAGTTTTAAATTCAAGCAGCTCATTTAGCTGCCAGAGCTCTTCCAGCAGGTCTTTCCACATCTTTGGGGCAGCTGAT